TCAGCGGAGATTTCTGGAGATTCTTGGCCAAGCATCATCTACCTTGAGGCTCCACATTTTACCGCAACTTTAATTTATATCAAGGACTCTGGAAGACAGATGCATTCATGTTTGTAAAAAGGTTTGGCAGAGGTTTGCCTGATGTGTACATGCAGGGACTATGGGATAGATTTCTTCTCTTCTGTAATTACAATGAGTGCATACAGTAGATGCTCAGAGTATACGTATGTTCTAGAAAGAAGGAGACAGGTAGCTCCACCTCAGCTATTAGATCATAACAGCTTTGACCTGCCATAATGGGGAAAGATAAATGATATGTTCCTACGACTGTGTTTAAAGTGGGATTGTCTTTCATCTCCTGCTGGGACTCTGCCAGGAAAGATTCTCACTGTGGGGTTTAATGCTCTGAGCTATGAGCCCAAACATGTTTATTTATTTTAACAATTCAAAAGAACCTTTTTTCCCTTCTGTGTCCCTCTTTCTTTCCCTCTCTTTCTCTCTGTCATTAACTTTATGGGAATTTCCATGGAATTCTTTCAGAATGTAAGTGATTGTGTGAGATGGGAAACCCATTGTGGGGGTGTGATGCAGGGGTTAAGTGAGCCCTCCTCTGTTATTTCCTCATGTTTTTCTTTTGAACCGCGCCCTTGCTTCTGAGTAATTCTAAATAATGTGGAATCATTGAACAGTATCATTTGTGTACTTGAGATTATGTAACATAAAAGATGATCAAACAATAAAATCATCTAATGTCTGTACAAATCCTGTACAGATCCTTTATTAAAGTAAAGGTACCAATACAAAAAAGTCCATAACAAGTAACACAGTCCTGCTTTGAAAATGACACTCACTGTGTGTAAAGGTCTATTGTTATCAACAAGTTGTATCGAAAGTAACAGAAGAAATGCATCAAACTGGTGAGTGAGTGTTATAGTATTATATAGTATGAGCATATTATTGGATTATTTATACTAATGCATTAATATATCATTAAAAAGTATTTAATTGGTCAAGCTGGAGCTGATTGGAACTATTTTATGTACTGGTTGGGCGTTAAATCTATAACACCACATCATATTTTATAAGCTGGTCATATAAGTAACTAGTAACTAAGGCTGCTAAAAAAAACTAAAAAAAACAAAAACTGTCCTGGAGTAGAAATATGAAGTATTATGAAATGGAAGTAAAGTACAAGTACCTAAAATCTGTAGAGTACTTGAGAAAATGTATCTAGTTGCCTTCGAACACTGTCAATCTCTTTACAATCTCGTTTCTTTTTAAAGCTTCTTTTTCTCTTTTCTGTCAATAATTTGTAATACATCCTTTGTAATTCAATAATCTATGTGTGAGTCTTCCAGTAAACTCATTGTGTACTTGTATTACTGCCAGTATTGTTGTGTTTTTTCTTTTCTTCTTTTTCTCTGTTCTTCTTTCTTCTTCATCTTCATGTAAAGCACACTGGGTTTTCAGTATGAGAGCTTCTCTTGCTTTGCCTCTTTAGTCTCCCCTCCGTCATCCAAACTTCCTCCTCCCTCCTCTCTTTACTCTCTTTTCCTCCATGTGAGCCTGTGTTCCAGAAGGGTTACTGTGGCCCCAGAGCCCCACATGTGTAAGGGGATATCTTCAGTCAGCCTACAGCAGGGAGCTCACCGAGCGGCTGGCTGCTCCCCCAACACACTGTAGGCAAAACAGTTCAACCGAGGGAAGAAAAGAAGGGGTGCAAAGATATGAAAATACCATCAGAGGACTGGAAAGCAGCTTGATTTCAGCTCCTGCAATCCTTATATAAATACTGTTCACATTCTCAAATAGTGCAAACACACACACACGCACACACATACACACATATACACACACACAAACACTTCTGGCATCCGTCTGGAGGAGAGATCAACTACAGATCAATCACAGAGCTCGGCTCTCCCCCACTGGCTGTCCTCATTCTGCGGCGCTGTAGAGATGAAACATCATCAGCTTGTTGGTGTTGGAGGTTTTCTGATCACCTCTGAATACTTTGTTCAAGCAAACCATTATGGAGGAAAATATTACAGCCATTCAGAGAGTATTAGGGGTATTACTGTGGGGCTGCATGTGATGGCGATCAACCCACACTGCAAATATTGTCTTTCTTGATCTGGAGTTTGCAATCCCAACTATAAAAGCAAAGTGTTCCAGATGGGGAATATGCTCTTAATCCATGCTACTGAATTTATTTCAAATATGACAAACTTGATGAGATGCAGAAGAGTTGGTCCGCTCTTTTGTTCAGTTCACCAGCACAAAAAAAAATTGCTGTTTTGGTGAAAAACTCTATCTGGGTGGCACAAATCCGCCTGTCAAACGCAAACCGTTTTGAGCTAAGTTTGCGCAAGTCCATGCATACGCGCACACTTAAATGCACGCACACACACACACACACACACACTGGCACACACACATTACACGACTGGAATGCAGTATTAGCACCCTGGCTGTAATCAAAGCCAAATAGCTCACATATAAGCACAATTGTCCCTCATCAAAGGGTGGAAATACTTCTCATTTCTAACAGTGAAAGTGGAAGTGGTTGTTGGTGCATTTGCAGCATTTGAGGATTATTTCACAACCATTTCGCCCACATACACACATACATTGTTATCCATAAATAATATTCATAGGTTTAAGAAAAACTTACGGACGTGTTGAATTGTAAAAGAAAGGCATGTTAGGCCTATAATTCTTTATCTATACTTTCATATCGTTACTCAAGAGTTGGTGCATCTCTTTTAACACAGGGCGAGATATAAATTGCTTTTCTTATTTCACAGCTACAGGAGGAGGCCAAGATTACATGTGTTTAGATAAGGAGACTTTCACAGCTGTGTTGTTCATAAGAGAGTCTACAGGAGACTGACCAGACAAGACTACGGTGTCTATTTCACAGGTTTTGCCTTTAGGAATGCAAACACCTTCTCTCCATTTCAGCTGGAACAATCCAGAGAATACACCAGTATGTTTGAGCAGTGCAAACCTGGGATGAAGACAGCACATGAGGAAATCAAGTAAACAGTGAAAGGAACATGATGAAATCTAAATTCTATTATGTTATTAAGTTACCACTTGATGGTGTGTGAGAATAAAGCAGATTTCATGGAAATACACCCCTCAGGGTGTTTGTATGATTTTCATTTCTTCTTTTTCTCTTCACTGGCCTTTTGTTTTACGGCAGACCAGGGAAGTGAAGCGCTGACGTTGTTGACAGAACACTTCTCGTTGTGTCTGTAATTACTGCAGGACAACGCAATTGCTAGTTAATCATAAACACCCTCTGTACACTGCAGCGTCACACTGTCTTTCTTTGCTATCTGCCTGTGCCACAGCGCTACTGCACTTTGGACTGCTGTGTGTATGTGGGTACAGCATGACAATTCAGACTTCAGCTCCGAAATTGTTAATTATAGGAATGGGGGGGGGGGGGGGGGGGTTAGATTTATGTGTTTGCCGACTGTGTAGGAGGTATTAAATAGTTGACTTCACGAGGTTTAGTAAAATATCAGATGGTGACATGCATCCCATGACCTATTCTTGTTTCCAAGTTTGGCCCTGCAGCTTTTTAAAATGCTCCAACAAAGCTGTAGCCGGAGAATACTTGGAGGACTCAACTCCATCACAAAGAGTTGTGTTTGCCTCCACTCCTCCAGTCTATCAGGGTCCAGGGCCCAGTACGGTTTGCCGGGCCCAGCTAACAATGTTTGCTCTGCTTTATGGCCTCTCTGTTTGTTTTCCCCTTCACTGAAGCGACCACCTCTTGGTCTCAGCAGCACTCAAGTGCTGCCACATTTGGGGTCACCAGCTTGGCCCACCCAGAATGCAGTGCGTCAAGCAAAAGAGATAACACACAACTGCTCAGGCGGTTTAGTGCAGCAGGGATGTCACCCTCCCTTTTGCCACACACACACAAACACACACAAACACACACAAACACACAGTGGTAATCTACCATTTAATGTGCCTCAGAGATCTTCCTACAGATAGGCAGCTTTTCTCTGTTTGGCACCTCTCACCTCAGGCCTGTCAAGTTTTCCCTTGAGGACATCATAAAACTAAATAACATATGTCAGGAGAATAAAGCAGTGACTATATTTTTTCCTTCAGCTGGAGCCTGTGTATCAACCATATGTTGTTTTCAAAGGTGACAATTACCTGATAGATGTATTTCAGAGGGGTGGTATCACTACTGAACCCAAACAAAAAGTGTCAGAGAGATTCAATAGATACATTAGATAAACAAATGAACAACAGAACGCTTTCATAAAAGAAAACTGCAAAAAAAAAGAAAGAAAAAAAACAACTTTTGTTCTCAAAACTGGTTATTATTGAAGTTACAGGGAAAAAAATGCAGATTAATAGAACATCCATCTTCATCATTAGGCTGTAGGCGGTGGACTGTAGTGATGATTTTAACAGCAACAGTCTCAATTTCAAGCATTTGTGATCCAAATGCAATAATTTGATATGCCAAGAAGATGTATTAGAAGAATGTACTCAGTCTTATTTTCAGTCAAACAAACTTACAGACATTAAATACATAATTTTATTCATCAAATATATCTTTAAATCATAAGAATTGTAAACTTGAGAAAGTATCTAGTGAAATAAAAATCGTTAAATAAAATGGTTTTCCAAAAATATAATTGTTTTTTTTTTTTGTTTTTTTTTGCAACTGTTTGTTGTTTGCTTTTTGATCACCACCAGCTGCAGGTTATTGTTTGCCCATGCCTTTTATTTATCCCTACATGGCAAGAACAACATCCACAGAGCTATGATTTACAAATCCTACCAACACCTTTGTTATAATTGTTTGGGGGGGTGGGTTTTATCAGTTCAGCCTACTCGCTGGAGTGCAGGGGATCACATGAGGCCTTTAGGGGGATGGGCAGAGTTTTCAGAGGGTGGTATGGCTTTAAGAGTTTACTACCATGACTGCACTCTCACACACACACACACACACACACAACAGAAAGTTTGGAGGCCAGGCGAGCAGTGGGATACCGACGGATAGGAAGTGACGGGACTGCATGAATTGCAGAGGGAGAAAAAAAAAGAAGACGGGAATATCAACACAAAGCAGAATGAGAAGCAACGTGCGATCACCGGACTGTTGGCTGTAGTGCGAGGGGGGGGGTGGGATGAATGGGCGCATGATCTGATCACCGGAGAGAGAGACTTTCAGTGGAGGTGAACCAGGCTCCCAAAAGAGAGAAGCAGAGATTTTACTGAGGGGATTGTCGTCTGATTTCCATGACCGTGCTTGTAATTCTGGAAAGTGCTCGGGCACAGGGGACCATATGGGACTGCGACCTGTAAACTATAACCCCGCTTTGGATATGAAGGAAAAGACTTTACGACAAATCCAAGATCACAGTTAAGGGATATGAACGCAGATCTTTGGATTTCACCGCGATTTTTTCCTCTGTCGGGTTCAGTTTTGCGTCTTTGGGGATGTTTGCGAGTTGCATCTCTGCGGCTTCGGTTCGGACACTGACCCGTCTCTGTGCGCTGGTGCTGGTCGTCGCTGTGGGACTCGGTTCGGAACTGAGGGTCCGGGTCCGGCTCTCTGACGGACTGGTGACCGAGGAGGTTTTGGAGGCGGACAATGAGAGAGACTCGATATCTCTCGAATTCAAGCAGGGAGATGGGACACTCATCACTTTTGTGGCGGACTTCAAACAGGTGAGAGGTGGTCCTGTTTACCACTTTAACTGAACGCTGCTGTACCTCGAGGGGACGCGCCCCCCCCCCCGCGCGCTCATTGTGACACTAAGAGATTTCTGAGGGTGCTGTTAGAAAGTCTCAAATTACTCTATAACTGTAAATTTTGCCTGAACTAAAACTTGTTGCCACTGAGAACACTTCATGGTTCCCTAATTAAAGACTGGGGCCTATCATTGGTCCTTGAATTCCCCAGGAGGTCCACGAGTAAAACAAGACATTTGATACTGATGTAAATGTAGACACTTAATTCAGTGAGAGCAGTCAGTCTCCGCCATCATTAAAATTAGATAAAATCCAAAATTACATCGTTTCTATTACTATTTTACATTGGAGACCTTGGAGACATCTCAGGGAGCACTGATGAGCCCCAACCTTCACTTTCAGCTAATTGATTCCCCCCTAAGACAAGATCTGATCACTCATAAACTCAAGTAGAACTTGGACTTTCATTCATCTTTTTCCATCTCGGCATGAGTCTCACAAAGGTCAAGACAGGACCCCGGGGGCCTTAAAACCCCTGCTGCTCACAGGTCCAGCCCAGAGCTGATCATCAGCAGCCATATTTAGCATTCTTCTAAAAGTAGACAAGCTGATCAAATGTCCCTCCAGTGACCAGCACTGCATTCGCGATTTTTTGGAAAGATGACACGGTTTCACTTTTAATAATCACTACTCGGAGACACATAAATGTCAGTCCTGGAAGGAAAACTACAACTGCTGAGTGTAAGGGAGGGAGGGGGGCTCACAGAGGCGCACAGAGCAAAGGCATCTGTCTGTGATGGTTGCTGTCACACAGAAGCTGACAGGCTGGCGAGATGTGAAGGGGGAGATTTACCAGGATTAAGTGGGCATGTCTGACCTTTTTGATCTGCACGTCTGCTTCACTAACCAAAACAGCTAATTTAGAGTTGAAAGAAAAGAAGCAGTCACCCCCAGTCACTGGTGACACACCAACAGAAAGAGACGTACACTGATCTGTGAGCAGGGAGCCTTCGCTTGGTTGTGCAGGCGCCCTGCGTCCTTGCATCCCTTCATTCATGCATGCACACGTGCGTGCATACACACATACATATGCACATATGGTTTTGTTTACTTGAATAAAGCCAACAGAACCTCTTAGATCACTTTACTTTTCCGCCTCTTGATTTATCTGTTCCAGTTGTAGGTCGCCCCCCCCTTTTCTTTCGTGTCTCTTTCTCCCCCTGTCCCCCTCTCTGTCTCCTGCTCACTTCTTCCTGCTCTCCCCTCATTTCTCCTGCATGTGGTTTTTATTCAGCTCTTGTGCAGTATCTCCAAGATTTATGGAAAGTTGGATGAGCTGTCACTTCCAGCTGCCATGAATATACAGTCCAGATGAACGCATGTGGGAAGAAGAGTGTTTTAACAGGGCTGTTAAACACTGGAGAGTTATAATGAATTACACAGTTAAAGGTGGATGGGTACTGTACTGGTACAAACGCTCTTTGGAAGGTGTGTTCACGTTACTCATCAATGAGTACGCATAATTGGCCAAACAAGCATTTCCATCTTTGTGTGAAGTTCATTCTGAAAGTAATCTTCACTAGAATCACTTCCAAAGGAACTCTTCACAAATAATCACCCGACAGCCTGCCTCTTGCTCTTTGCTGCTTTGTGAATACGTGGCAAAGATGTGATGGTAAATGTTATAGCCATTAGACACTGGTGGAGGGGTCTGCTGGATGTGAGAAGGAAGTTTAGTCAACCTTATCCAAGCAATGAATCACTGTGAGAATCAGCCGTAAAGTGATTCCAGCAGGGTTACGTTTTCTCTGAGGGCATGTAGACATGTGGAAAAGATGATGTGGTTTCGCTTGCTCATGACACCTCTGTGTCATGTTGAGTAAATGTCAACATGTTGATAACAATGTCAATTAAATTCAAACCTATGAACAATTATAATCTTTTTTTTTTTTAATGAAAGAAGGGGCGTCATGGGAGAGAGTTAATCATTCAGTATTTATTCTCTAAGTGTGTTCGTAGGTTGCTAAACTTTCTCAAATGTTTTCAGCAGAGGGATTTTATGTTTGTAACTTCACCATTTCATTCTTATCTGGCATCACAGTGAAGTATTTACAGCTGAATCTACTCTCAATTATGTCAAATTGCAGTAATCTGTCAGCAGTTCAGTCATATCCTGGCCACATGCTTAAAGTCAATGTACAATTTTGCAACATAAAGCAAATCAGAGCACAGATGTGCTGTTGTAGCCTTGCACTGACAGTTCCTCTAAAGTCATTTGTTAGTTGCCGATTCAATGCAGATCTGTTTTTTTTTCCTCCAGCAACCGCTGCAGCGATTTATGGTCTCGCACAGTCTAAGACCTTGAGCTGAACATAAACCACGTCTTGGAGATTAATCCAAGGGAAATGTCTCACATATCTGAGAGGCAGCTCTGGCTCTTTCCAGATGTAGAAACTTTGTCAGAGAGGCTAATCAGTTTGTACTCTGTGTGTATTACTTTCATGTCCAACTAGTGGGTTTGATCAATGCAGGAATGTGAGTGACTTCATGGGCCTCTCAGCTGAGTTAACAGTTGAAGAAGGTTTAATTTCTGGGATCCAATGGTGCACATCTTTAGTTACATGGCTCTATAATAAAACATCTGAGAGCGCAGTTTGAATGTTTTTATTTTAATCTGTTTTGATTTATTTAACATGCAGCTACACTGGTGCAGAATAATTTGAAAAAGTCTCTTAAAATTTGAAAAAGCTTTCCACCCTCACTAGTATTTTCAGATCATTTTCAAGCTGTCTGCTTTCCTCTCCGAAATGCCAAAATAGTGGAAAAGTGCTTAGACATTTAAGCCAATAAGTTTATAATCACCTGACCACAAAAGGTTTCACTATCGCCACCCATAATATAACATAAATAATATATATAATATAAAATATAATAATAACAAAGTTATCCACTTTGGAGAGTTTTTCTATCTTTGCTGGAAAGATTTAGATGTATCTCTGTCAGTGTGGACATGGCATGGGTGACCCCTTGCTGTGCTGATGGGTCAAGGGAGCAACAGATGTTGGGAAGTCACTTGACACTCACACTGTCTCACACTATCATGTTAAATTGGCCCTGAATTTTGTAAACGGTGGCACCACCATGTGAATGAGAATGTCAGCCTTTTTTTTTTTTTTTAATTATTTTTATTTATTTATTTTTTATTATTAATTCTCATTTGGTTTCGGCCTTATAAACAGGATTGTGTTTCAGCCAGGGGCTGTGTTGCCCTCAGGTCAGTTCACTCCAGTGTATATTCTGATTGTCTCCAAAGTACAGAGGCTTTATGGATACGCCCAACTGTAAGCTCGCTGTAAGAATGGATTCGGAGATTCTTCACACACCCTCATGTACTATGTCAAAAGCAGAATGAGAGGTGGGGTTGGGGAAGCAGGTTGGTTTAGCCAGTCTGTGTGGCTTCCCATCGGAATACACCGTATCTGTGACCCATTTTGGCAGGTGAGCATTCCTAGTTCTCTCACAGCCTTCACACAGTGTATCACTCAGTACGATTGATTCAAATGGATTTGGACCGTAGCCTTTATTAGCTATTAGGCAAACTCTCCTGTGTGGGAGGCTTGTTGGCAATTCAGTATGTTCTTTTTTTTTTTTTTTTTTTTTTTTTTTTTTTTTTGTGGGAAATGCCAGCGTTTGCCAAATGAAGCTACTGCCAGTTGGTTGTTTTTTTTTGCCCTGATTGCAAGCACTGTACATCAGTTGCAAGTCAGTGCAGTAAACACATTTTATGCCTTTTTTTTTTTTTTTTGGCCACCACACCTTAACTCTCACTCAACCTTGAAACACCATCCCACTTTGTCACTTGCACAAACTTGTAAAGTCTTTTTTACAGATAAGTGTCACCAGGAAATGTTGTTGATTCAGGAACTGTTGAGGGGCACATGAGTCTTATTCTCTACTACTGGCAAAGTTCACAGTGAGTCATCTGCAAGTCACCAGCAATCAGTGGAATAATGCATGTGATTAAGTTTTCCCAGAGTGAGTGAAAATGAAACGACTCATTCAGTTCCTCTTCCTTAACCACAACAAATGTTGCGATGTTCCGATGTTGAAGCTGTAGTTTACGTTGATCAGTTACCTCAGAAGACCTCGACTCCTACTCAGTTTCCCTTGTCAAGATATGTCTCTTTTCCGTGTGGGAGAGAGAAACTTCACAGAAAAGTCGTTGCCTTGCAGAACAAGATGTGCAATTCAGAGGAGCTGCACTGTTCAAGAACGGTATCACTGTTTAAGATTACCTTCTTTACATGTCACTCGGAACTTGGAATTTGAATGCATGGATTTTCATTTGTCTTATTTTTCCTGGTATGTTGTCTCTGTTTCTATTCCTCGCATCTCTCAATGCAGTGTGTGCAGGCAGTGGACCTTTCCGAGGATGAACCCACTTAAGTCTTTCTCCTAGCCACCCTTTGTTCCCTGCTGACTCTGAATCCCAGGAAAATAGCTTCTTCTGTGGTCTTGCTGTGGCCCTTCAAGGCCCCACATGGGCCTCCTTTGGCCTCTCGTGGCCCCTCTGCCCCTGTTGATGTCTTTATCCTTTATCCTCCTCCCACCACCAGGCCAGATGTTCATCTGTAATGCTGCTGATAAAAAAAAAAAAAAAAAAAGCTTCCCATTCCCATAGCCGTGCAGGGAGAGAGGACATAGCAGAGAGAGACAGTTATCATCCAACCTTTCAGATTTTTTTTTCTCCAATGATCGGGGGCAGTGGGCTGCATGGTGCTGCAGTAACGGCCTACTGTCACCTTGATGGACAAGGAGACAGTAGCTTTGGCTTGCATTGTGCATAGTTGTCCTCATTTCTAACTACCTCAGACGTTTTAAAGTCACAGTTGGCAGCAAAAGAGCTAACAAAGGGTTTACTCTGCCAAAGCTTCCGTTCTGTTCTCCACACAGTGTCCTGAAATGTCCTTTTGTCA